CGGGAAGCTCCCCAGGACTGCTGACCTCCCCCAGTCTCCGCCACGTCCTTTGGATTGGTGCTGCGGCTGCTACAGGCTGGCAGAGAAAACAAGGAAAGATGAGAAGGATGAAGGCCGCGGGAGATGCGAAACGTCGCCAGGAAAGGGTGCTCGTTTTGCATGAATACAAAAAGGGCTGGACCTGGCGGTCCTGGCGCCTTGCCGTCTCTCTGGGCTGCTAGGAAGGCGAAAGGAAGACTTTGATCTCCGCTCTCTGCATTTAGGGGTTCAGCCCCGAGATTGGTGTCTCCATCTCCTATGAGTCCCAGGCTGGGAGGATCCCGATTACTACCGCCCGGAAACCTCCAGCCAGGCGGGCACACCGGGTGACCCAGTGCCCCACACGCGATCCGGGGAGCGCACCCGAGAGGTCACCTTCCCTTCTATTAGCCCCGCACCTCGCCCCAGCGTCCGGAGCCGCAGCTAGAGATTCGCTGCCAAGGGACGCGTCTCATTAATAAAGCTAACCCTGGATAAAATTGCGAAAGAACAGAATCGACCTCAGGGCGGTGGGTGAAGCTCTGAGCCTTTGTGGCAGCACTTTTGCGTTTTCCAAGGAGATCCCTGCGCCTGGACTTTGCCTATTGGGGGAGATTTTTTTTCACAGTCCGGCAGCCAGGAGCCCAACGTCGGTGCAACCGCTGCTGCGCACCCCCGCCCCCTGCCCTTCCACGTGACTCCCAAAGGCCAGTCAGCGCTGGGCGAATAGGGAGTAGAGGAGCAAAGGGAATGACTCCGCGAGCTAGGGGGGGTTCGTGGAGGCTGGCACAGTGGCCGTGAAAAGCTCCGCCGCAGCAGCTCAGGTCCCTGCGGCCGCCCGAGGTCCGGGGGCGGCCGGGGAAGCGTGCGCTCAGCTCTTCAAAAGGGCCCCGGTGCGCTGGCCTTCCAGGAAACCCGAGTCTCTGGCAGGTATGTTCCTTTTTCTCCTCTCTCACCCTTCTTCTTCTTGCGGTCCCAGAAAACTCGGGCTCCTCGCGCTTGTTTGCCTAGGAGAGGTACCTAGTACGTGAAAAAGAGACATCAGTCACTCCCTCAAAATTGGCCAAGGTCTGCTTTACTTTTGGTTTTGGCTCAGCAACTTCTTTAAATTAAAGTAAGCTTTGGGCAGAGAGCGGACAAGGATATTTGAAATGTGTTTAAACACTTTTTATGTGAACTTGAACGCCTTTAATCCTTCTCCGGCCGCCATGCAAATTCTCCAGCCCTTGTTTGCACCTCGCAGTCCCGGTGATGGTGGTGGCACTGTGAAATGACCCTGATCGACTGACCCAGGACAGGCCGTATACGGCCTTCACACGGAGAGGCGCACATGGATGGGTGTCGCCCACCACCGACTCCGGGAACGCCGAGTGGCGGCGCGAGGCAGCGCAGCTGGGCCTCAGGCTCCCGGTAGGGCCTCCGAGGCCGGGAACCGCAGCTAAGCCGCTGGGCTTTTTATGCTTTTTCTAGTCAGCCTCCTCACCTTCCCGCTGTGGTCCAGGGAATTTACCACCCCCCACGAAGCTACCACTCCCACCCCTACTCAAACTGCCGCTTGGTGAAACTAGCCGATGATGGCCGGAACGGATTCGAGGAGCAGTGATGTACCTTCACTGGCCACAGATAGGTGACCTTATCGACGGTATTATGTTGCTTGGCTTTTTGTGGGGGATTTTTTCTAGGGATACACGGACACCCGGGTGGTGAACTGCAACCCGTTTTGAGGGAATTAGGGTCCTTTCGGTTTGGGGAAGTGGGTAGGGAGGAACCCGCGACTGACCAGAGTCCCGGGACAACACAGCCCGCGGCCGCCGGGAAGATTGGGGGAAGTGCCTCAGAGAAGTATTTCCCGTGTTTCCCAGAAACCTGACGGTCAGCCTAGCGCAGCTTTCTAGCTTCTAAAGAAAGTAAATTATCGCTGGGGTGACGAGGAAATGCTCCTCGCACTTCACAGTCTTCACATCCCTGGCTATTGGCCGCAACAGCATTGCCGGCTAGTCTGTGTGTTGGTGCCCGAAGAGCAGGGATTAGCGGTGAATGGTAAATGGATGCGAACTTTTGAGCGCTTTCTATCTTCCCACTCTCAGAAATAGATCGGAGAAGAGCTATTGGTTAAATCATGAAGGAAGAAAGCATTTCCCATCGGCCTGTGAATTTGGGGTGAACTGGGTTGAATGATCAGGAGAGGGAAAACAGGGGCGCTGGCCTGGCCCCATACTCGAGACCAGACCTCATCTGTCAGTCTCTCAGAAGCTCACTCCGCTCGCTCTGCAGACGCCTGGACTGAGGTTCGATTATAGGAACAAGAGTCATTTTAAAGGAGTAGTTAATTTCTTCTCTTTCTAAAAATGTAGAGGGGTATTTCTCTCCACCTTTTATTTTTCCATTAATCCAGCTCTAAAATAATGTATCGGCCATTTAAAAAGGCAGAGAATGTAATAAAGACAAGTATTAGATTTGTAGCATTTTTAGCGTTTACATTTTAAGCTTGGAAGTTAGTACCTGTATTTATACTGGAAGTTGGATTACAGAATTATAAATCTCCTTTTCCTGCAGTTATATGAAATAAGAAAACTTAAGACATTATCTTTTAGAATGGTAGGAGTTGAGTATTATAGAAAATACAACGAAATAGGTCAACTCTTTGGTTTAAAAATTAAATAATGGATATTTTATTAAGGTAAGCCTATATATTTACTTATTGAGGCCCAGAGATTCCTAGGAGGTGTTAATTTTTTGCCTTCATTTTCAAAGGGGAAAGCTAGTGACCTCACATCAAATTGCTGGTATCTACCCTCTTTAACGAAACTTCTTGCTTAAAGAAAACGTCCACCAAATCAATAATTTATTGTGTATTTTTTAAAGCAAATAATAAACCATTTAGGAGTTACCATGTGACTATATAATACAATGTTATTAGTTCCATTATTATTTTTATTAAAAAGCATTACATAGTGTGTATTAGAGATTCCAATTCCAGAGTTTTACAGGAAAGATTATCATTCATTATAGCACATATTGCATCTGACACACATTCTTATGATACATTAGAAATCTGTAATAACAATAATAGCCAACAGTTATGTAGAACTTTCTTTGTGCCAGACCCATGGGAGAGGCACCCAAGCATGGGGAAAATAAGGTTGTAAGTGTTTTACATATATTAATTTATAATCCTTACTCATATCTTCACAATGACTCTACAAGATAGGTACCTTTAATATCTGCGTTTTACAGATGAGGAAACTGAGGCACAGAGAGGTTATAAATTTGCCTTAAGTTATTCATTCAGCACATGGCAGAGCCTGAATTTAGAATATAGTTCAGTTAATATCCTTGTAAGTCTACTATTGGCAGTAAACAAACAAAACAAAACCTACTGTTAAGAGTAGCTGCCTCTGTCTAAGGAGAACAGCAAAGGCAGGTGTAGTGGACAGTTTCAGACCCCTGGAGACCTACAAATCCATTTCTCACACTTGGCTAATAGTACTTTGATCTTAGACAAGTTTCAGAATTTTCTAGTGCTTCTGTTCCCTCTTTTGTAAAATGAGCAGAGACACCTTTACTTAGTGGAGTTGTGGAAAAAAGTGCCTGGAGCAGAGCAGGTGCTTCAGAACTTAGAGCTCTTGTTTTATCAGACAAATTTCTGGTAAAATCAAAACACAGGATGCTACAAACCCTTCTTCCCCAAGCAGTTTCATATGTTTTTTGATTTCACGTATTGTGTAGACCACTGATTATACATTTAAAAAAAAACAACACAAAACTCCCTCAATCAATTTGAATGGTTCAGTGAATGTAAAGTGACCATGTCACTTTTCTGGTCTCAATATCTATTCTGCAAAATCTCTAAAATATAACTATTTGCAAGAAGTGTATCACGTGTCTGATTTGGCATCCACTTGGTACGAGGGGTTTCACAATCCTTTAGTAGATACTGTGGCTCATTTATAACATTTAGACTACCTGACACTCAAGTTTAAAAAATGATTACAAATCAGATTTCTTTGGTTGCTGATTTTTATAAAGTGTGCTGGGCAGTTTCCGGGGTAATCAAGACCAGGGATTCTTGGGGAGAGATGGAGAAAACAGAGGACATGAGGGAGATTTGGGTCCCAGGCACTCTGTGGACACTTGTGGAATTATAAAATACTGTGACAAAAATATGCTTAAAGAATAAGGTAATATTAAAGTCCTGCCTAACAAGAAATACAAAAATATTAGACCTAAATCACAATTCCCATGTTCAAGAACTGGGAAGCCCCACACCCCCAGGACATCCCTCTCTAAGGCTTCCTTCTTGCAGCACGCCTGCTTCGTTCGGCCTTGGCAAAACAGGCAAAAACAAAAGCCTCAGCTTCCCACCGCACAGCGCGGCCTCCGAAGCAGGTCCTGGAGAGGGGCGATTTCGTTGGCTTTGCAGCGCGGGAGAGGCAGCCAAGCATGGGGAAAGTAAGGTCTGAAAACTCTGGATCAACTTCTCTCTTCCCTTTTGTCTTTCCTCCTTTAGAACCGGCTGCAAGAGCCGTAGGCTTCGGGAGCCAGCCTGCAGGACTCAGCGCCGCAGGCTGTGGGTTCCCTGGAGGCGGTGCACAACCACGCGGCGCGACTTGAGAAAGCCTCGCAGAGTGACGAGTGGGGGACCCGAAGGCCTGTGTCCCACACCCCGCGCCTAGGCACTACCCTGGCTGGTGCCCCAGGACACTTGGCTGTCTCCTGCCACCGTAGGACTCTAGAACCTCCAGCGCCGGAGGTGCATTCCGTCCCCTCCGCCGCCACCACCAGGAAACAATCAAAAATTTCAATTTAGGGTTTTTCCTGAGTGAACAAGAGCCTAGAGTCTTTTGTTCAAGACTGGATTTAATCCTTTGTTGTGTGCTCCGTATATGTTTTTGAGAAATTTGGTTTTTTACCTTTGATTTCTGATTTTCGTTTTTACAATCCCTCACCTGTGTATCATCATCATCACTATATTATTATTATTTTCTTTCCCCGCATTGAGCTTTGGCCTGCGGGGGAGAGGGAGGACTCAGAAGCGGAGAACACGAAGGAACGATGTACCAGAGTCTGGCCATGGCCACCAACCACGGGCCCCCTCCTGGGGCCTACGAGACAGGTGGGCCGGGCGCCTTCATGCACAGCGCTGGCGCTGCGTCCTCGCCGGTCTACGTGCCCACGCCGCGGGTGCCCTCCTCTGTGCTGGGCCTGTCTTACCTCCAAGGCGGAGGCAGTGGCTCTACGTCCGGAGCCGGCTCGGGAGGCAGTTCCGGGACTGCCCCGTCAAGCGCCGGGCCGGGAACCCAGCAGGGCAGCCCCGGCTGGAGCCAGGCAGGAGCCGAGGGAGCTGCCTACACCCCACCGCCGGTGTCGCCGCGCTTTTCTTTCCCGGGGACCACTGGGTCCCTGGCGGCTGCCGCTGCTGCCGCCGCGGCCCGGGAAGCAGCGGCCTACAGCAGTGGCGGCGGGGCCGCAGGTGCGGGCTTGGCGGGCCGCGAGCAGTATGGGCGCGCCAGCTTCGCCGGCTCCTACTCTAGCCCCTACCCAGCTTACATGGCTGACGTGGGTGCGTCCTGGGCCGCGGCTGCTGCCGCTTCCGCCGGCCCCTTCGACAGCCCGGTTCTGCACAGTCTGTCCGGCCGGTCCAACCCCGCTGCCCGCCACCCCAGCCTCGGTGAGTACTGAGCGTGGGCTCGCTGGCCTGGGAGCGTTTGCGGGCGGAGCGGAGGCAGGCTCACGCCCTGTTTGGAGCGGGTATTTAATTTTTCACTAGTAGGGTTCAGAGGCGCGTTGATGCCATCGAGTTTCCAAGGAAGGTAAACCGGAAAAAGAGACTGGCTGCGTGGAGTAATTGCGGTGGTGCCGGTCATAGCACCTAGGAAACCAGATTTGTGTTCAGCGAGGGCCGGCCTGCTGTGAGATTCTCTTGAAAGCCAGGGAAGACTGGATGGTGACACGGCCTGAGTGACGGGCTCAGCTGTGAGTCCTCCGCTCTGCTCCAGGTGTTGGGTCTATCTGGGCCCGACGTATGCCTGGGCAGTGGCTGGTCTGTAGGTGACTCTATGGGAGGCCAACGGAGCTCACTGAGAGACGGGAGAGGCGCGGGTATTCCCATTTCCTCCCGGTCCTCCTCTGGGGCTTCCGCGGGGAACTGACTAAACTGGCTTGGGCCGGAGATCTTCTGTGCCATTTGTTGGCCCAGATGGAGGATCCCTCAGGGTGTGAGATAATTTTTCTGTTGGGGATTTCACACTGGGAACAAAGGAGGCTCGAAGCAAAGGAGACCACCTGTGAGGGGGGTTGAACTGCGGCTAGAACCATGTGGGTGTTTTGGGGTTATGCTGCCTGCCAGAGGCAGACGCTGGACCCAGAGCAAATGCATCAAAAGCCCACTCTTGTCCATGTCCAGAACACAGGAAGCACAGAGGGCTTCTTTTTAATGCCTAAGGTAAATGAAGACTTAGCTGCGTGGATGTGTTGAGCCCCTCTTGTCCTGAGGTCCAGGGTTAGGAATAACTGTAGTGATGGGAGCAACTTAATATTTCCATGGAATGGCAGGCCTTGAACAGACTCCAGATATGCCCCGTTTCTCCTCAGTTTACAGGTGAACGAACTGTGAGGTCTGAGAAAGGGCCTGGACATTGTACGCTGAAAAAGAATGGGAGGTGGCAACCACTAGTTCAAAATGAAGACCATCTCTAGTCTTCTGGAATTTTAGCAAGGGAGGGGAAAATCCAGTTTGGATTGAGATGGCTTTTGTGGGGGAGGGAAAACCAGGCTTGAGAAACGAAGTTAACATTTATTGACTACCTACTAAGTGCTAAAATGTTTTTACTTTTGTTCTTACTTTGAAGAGGAAAGCCTTTCTCCCTCCCAGTTTCCAGTCTTGGGCTAGCTCAGAGGAGGGCTCCAGCTTTGAAAAGCTTTTAAATTATCCTCTGACCCAAGGTCCCCAGGAGGTTCTAGTCAAATACACATCCCAGGTAAACTGATTAACCGTGGAAGTGGCGCCGGGGCTGGGTTTGTGGCTCCCAGTGTGCCCCTCCCCTCACAGGGAGCCAGACGGCACTCCCCAGGGAGGAGGGGCAGTCTGCCCGGAGCCTGGCGGGAGGATCTTTGTGAGATAGCTGGTAGTGCAGATCTCCATACAATGGCAGCTTGAGGTGGGAGTGTTGGGGTGGGGACACTTTGCCCCTGCAGTCTTAGAAACTTTCCCTTGGGCCTCTGACTTAAAATGGGGAGAAAGGGTCCCCATAGTTCCGCTTCTTTCAGTTTAGAGGGTTGCTTTGTAACCTCTATAATCCCAGAGTGACAATTTGGTGTTTGGTTAAGCAAAAGAGAGAAACTCAAAGTCCAGAGATGGAGGATACTTTTTGGTCATCAGAGTCACAACTGCAATAGTGTTAAAAAGCGTAACACTCACCCTGCCACTTAAAAATGTAACCCATAATGGTGCATGCAAGTGTTGAAGTAGTCTCCCGATTTCGGTGTCAAAAAATGGCAAGCTGACCTTCAGAGAGCTCCTTCCTTGCCAAGTGTGGCCTGTCTCTCACCAGTTCATGAAGTCCCACCTGAAGAGAGTCCCTTGGGTCTAGCCTAGCAGTTGGATTTTCTCTTCTGCATATAACTGTCTTAAATGGTAAAGTCATGAAGGTTTCATGTCATCTTTGTGAGGAAACACTATGCATGTTAAATTTTTGCATTTAGATCTTCAGTGTGTTTTGTGTGTTACTTATATAAAAGTAAGTGAATATAATCGTGCTTTTTAATATGTTCTTCCTATCACACGGGCCTTCCTGTATTTACTCACAAAGGCTTACTAGGCCTTTGTGAGTACCAATACCTGCCATATTAGCAGACACACATTGAGTGTTGCAGGATGATGATAAGTGATTACTAATTCCATTGTATTTATTGAGTGCTCATGTGTTGTTACCACAGGGCCCTAAGATGGCAATATAGTATGGCAGTACTAGCACAGGCTTTTGGAATCAGACAAACCTATGTTCAGTTTTAGGTGTCCCAAGTGATCTTGGGCAAGTCAATTAACCTCTCTCAAGCTTGCCTCTTTTTCTATAAAGTGAAATAATCATAACTCCTTTTAGTGTTGCCTTGAATTTTAAAAATAAGGTGCTGTTGATGAAGTACCTGGCTTTGGCCCCTCGTAAATGATGGCTATTTTATTAAATAGTTCCTTGGGGGTACTCCCTGTCATGTTGGGTGACCAATCCTGGTTTTCCGGGAACTGAGGAGTTCCCCCAGGACATGGGATTTTTAGTGCTAAAACTGGGACAGGGCGTGGCAAACTTTGATGGTTGGTTTCCCTAAACATACATGAAAATGGATAAATGACCTAGAGAAGGCAGAGGAAGGAACCACTAGATGTCTAGGAATCTGGAAATCTTTACCAAAGTGGTGACATTTACATTTGGTCTTGGAGGATGAGTAGGGATTTGCCAGGAAAAGAACCTGCAATTAAAGAAGAAAAGATATGCCCTCATTTATCTACAGACTCTGTAGTACCATGAAATAAATACGACACAGCTTGACTTTTGTTTAAATTATATATTTATCACAGACTGATTTACCCCCTTAAACTGAGAAACTGTTTTTACTTTCAATAAGGAGAAATAAGAGAACACTTCTATTTTTCTATGAAGTATTAACTGCTTCAATAATAACAATAGTTAATATCTTGCTGGAGTTGTTACATTGGTTATTGGGATAAGGCAAAAATCAAAGTAATAAAATCTATCAGGGGCATCTGTAAAGTCCCGCATTTAGGTTGGAAGAATTATTCTGCCTTGGCTATAATGTATGTGGACCTTAACTAGTTTCAAGTTCAGTATCAGCTAAGACCCAGAAACAACTGTTGAAATTGATAATTAGGCTGCATTCATGGGATTCTGTGATCTTATTGAGGGTAGGTATAGAATCTTACTCATATTTAAGTGCCTGGCACACGCTGGGCACTTAGCAAATGTTTGGGTAGAGATCTAGAAGGTAAATACCTAGGTACTCTGCCCTGGTCAAACAACATACAATGACTTGTTTCTAGTCCTTAAAGAGGCAAACTGGACAGCTGTCAGGGAAGAGGAGCCAGGATGGGGGAGGTTCTGGAAACGTTTGGGAACTACTGAAGGAGGAAGAAGGGATGTTTAGGCGATAGAAGAAGTCACTAGGTGAATAAGAGAGGTAGGGACAGGGTGATTGTGTAAACATATTTAAAGAGGAAAAGGAAATGACCTTTTAACTTTGTGTGAGCAGATACTAGATTTGAGAAGAACATTTTCTCATACATAATTGTAGTTGTTTGGAAAGGGAATGACTTGTCTTAATAATAACCCATGGGCACTGAAAGTGTTTAAGTAGAGACTACACTGCCATCTACCAGAGGAACTGTAGAGGGAGTTCTTGCATTTCAGAGGGGTAGGGTCCATTTCATTTGTGTGTGAGTGCGTTATTTATCTATAGCAGGATAATATAGCTGTTTCGTTTTATGAAACCCATTCCCAGTGGTTACACAGGTATATAAGTTTGTCAAAACTTATTGAAATATACTGTTTAAATGGGAGTATTTTATTGTAAAACACCTCAGTAAAGCTGATATTTTAAAAAAAGAATTAATACATGTGAATACTTTACGGCTGAAAGAGAGACTGAATGGAAATCATATGTAAATAATACTTTGAAGGAAATAGCATGGTGATGTGACTGGAAAGACTATGAAAATATGCTTTATGATAGAATAACAATTCTTTTGAGCAATAAACAAGCAGTTATACAACATTGTATTTTCAAAGGATCTCAGAAATTTCTAATCATTTAAGGGTTAATGAAAATAACAATAAAATACCTATGTATCATTCAGTGTTTCTGAAACAATTTCTTTAAAAGAAGTTTTGTCTCATTAGGTGGGGTGGTATTTACAGTGTTCTAAGAGTTCTAAGGTATAAGTCAAGGGAAAACTCCGAAGTATTTTCTAGATCCCTTGGAGGGACTGCTTATCAACTAAACTAGCTGATTTCTGAGGCAGTTCATTCATATAGGGAACTTTGTCAGATCAACTTTGAGTAGCATGTTTGGCTAAAGAATGATTTGTCAGTCTTTGGGACAAGCAGCGTTGTTTAACTTTATGGTTACCACCCTGGGTAGGTCAGTCAGAGTTGGGCCGGGTCTGTGATGTATGTTGAGAACCAGTTAAATGGGGAAGGTGTGTTGGGGTGGACAGGGGTGTGTCACTAGCTCTAGTGAGATCTGTCACATGTCCATTGTGTTCCATCAAGTGGTTGGGCCACATTTGGTAGTACTTTTTAAGCACTCAGGTGGAATGATGGGCGGAGACAGTTTTAGATAACACCTCTGTATCCCTTCCTATTTTTGTTCTTATTTAAATGCATTAAGAAAATAAACATATTCTGAGATGTGGAAAACAGGAACTCTGACACCTGTAGATGAAAGTGTAAATTGGAACAACCTTCATGGAGAGCCCTTGCCGATATCTGTCAAATTAGAAAGTATCATACCCTTAACCCAGAAATTTGACATCTAGGATTATTCTACAAATATACTGATACATATTATTACAGCACTGTTTGTAATCACAAAAGTTATAAAAAGACTAAACATCCATAATTGGGGGGCTGTTCGTATACATTATGGTACATACAAACA